CGTAGCAATATACTTATTTTGGGTCATATTGTCAATTATTGATGGAAGTGAAGCACAGAGTTGCCCAGTTTTGAGCATAAGGGTTCTTCTTTCAGAGCATAGCAATCAAAAATATAGTGAGTGATTCCATTTTTTAGTTTTGAATTACAGAAGGTACAAATCGGGTCCTCACCGCAGAGCATCTTGGTGTGGTTTTCTCTAAAAAAACTTGAAAGTATTCTAACTTGTGCGAGTAGTCTTACAACCGGGAAAGGAAAATCCCATAAAAGGTATCTCTCCGTCATGAAAGATATGTGAATGTCTTTGTAGTGAGAGTATAGCTTAGATTTATCCATTCTGGTAAGGTCGTTTTGTATAGATTGGTCTGCCGCTGTTTTTAAGAGCCCTGTAATCGCGCTCCTCAGCGTTTCAGGATCATCACAGGAAACGAGTGCAGGGGATCCATTATTGTTAAGGAGATTGGTGAGCTTTTTAATGAAACCGATGGGTGTGCCCGAGGCATTAGACAGTTCCCGTGTTCTATTAAAACACATACGCGGCAATCTGTCACTGCTCATATTCAACACCCGCAGCCAATAGTTCAGGATTAATTTTAAAGCTGTTACACTCAATGAGATACGACCGGTTTCTAATCTGATTATTTAGCCTGGAGTGCATCTGGGCAGATTCAGGAACCTACGGATAAATATGTCTTGTATACTATCCAATAAGTCTTTATGCTCTGTTGCCCACAATGGAGCGGCATACATCAGGACAGCTCTCACTATTGTATCAAAGAGTTTGGTTGATAAAGTTAGTAATATGCAAATACAAAAGAAATTCAATTTTCTTTGAATTTGATGCTTAATGATTATCTATTTATCATTATGCTCGGCTTCAGAGTGACGGAAGAACGTGTCAACGGAATTACAAATAGGGACTAAAAATCCATCCCATGGTCCCCTCGCAAACACATATGTACATATGTAAACTAACTGGCAGAATATTTGAAGTTAAGATGTGTTAGCGCAATTATCATCATCACTTTATTTTATTAGAATATAAGCAAAACTTGCGTGAACATATTTACATAATGGCAAACAAATCAGGCAGACAATCCTATGATGCTCTCCGCGACATAGGAAGGGATGGACGGTCACGTGGCACCTACTCCAGCAAGATATGTGTAAAGAGGCTTCAATATATTTATCATATTTATATCTATATATAAAATAATTAGAGCATCTTACTGGCTTAACGGTCGCCGAGATAGAACATCGAGCTCAAGACAGAGATGGCTGGTGTCACATCATGTTTGGGATGTAATACGTACAGTGGGTCACAACGTTCGATTCGAATAAAATGATTTGAATATAAAATAAGCGAAAAATCGTATTTAATCTTCATAACAATCCATTAAAGCAACACATTCATCACCCCTGTACACAATGTATATACTGATAGGTTTGGATCAATTCAGCCGGTTTTATAACCTCTCTCGTAGCATGACATCAAATCGAAGTCGTCCCTGTACTGATTAGGGTCATAGCCTGACACTATGGCGTATAACTTGGTCTGAAATTTCCCCAAAACCTGGTGTTGTCAAGGTGGATAACCCTAAAAAGTTGCAACTCCGTGTAACAATGTTCATAATTTATGAAAAAGGCATCTCCTTATTGTGCAACTAAAAGTTGCTGATGGCTTGCGCCATCTATCGGAATAAATATCAACTATTCTCGTTGATTTTTAATTATTCCAGAATTGGCCAAATACCCATTCTTGATTAATCAAGAAAAGCTCACCACGGACGCGTTTCGGGCTGTTGGCCCTCATCAACGACCAAAAAATTAGTCATTCAGGCATCCTAAAAAATCATTAAACGGGTAGTTAAGGCCAGAATTGCGTGAGACCGCGACACAATGTGAAAATAATCATAATGGCAAGGTTGTAAATAGAAGAACGTAATAACAGTTTAATAGGAGCAGATTTACCATGGTTGGACAGTATCTCGTGTCTAGTCTATCGTTTTAAAGCTTTTTTATGTATCTTTATTTGTAAAACGACATTTGAAATACTATCCCGCATGTTGTATTTTCAACGAAAATTCAAAATTTATTTCAAGGAGAAATAACGATTATTTCTAACTTTTTGGATGAGGTATGAGAGGGTGAATTGTGAAGAGTAATGATAAACGGAAAAAAAAAGTGTCCAGGGATAAATTTTGAATTTTCGTTGAAAAGAAACACATGCGGGATAGTATTTCAAATGTCGTTTTACAATCACAGGCCGCATTATATTATATTATATCTTTATTTACTATATTTTTCTTTAAATAAGCCCATAGAAGAGTTCTGAATGCTCAAATGTTTGCCATCTTGATTCTTTTTATATTGGAATAAGTAAACTTAGCTGCTTAGTCGTGGAATACTTCATAGCGAATGTCAATATACAAAGTTATCCCAAAAGTTCGTAAACACTTGCAAAAAAATTGAAATACTAATATTATTCGCTATAATATTATAATATCTTTGTAATACAATATAATGCGGCTTATGATTGTAAAACGACATTTGAAAATATCCCGCATGTGTTCCTTTTGAACGAAAAATCGAAATTTATTTTAAGGAGAAATAACGATTATTTCTAACCTTAGGGATGAAGTATGAAAGGATGAATTGTGAAGAGTAATGATAAACGGAAAAATAAAATAAAGAAAAAGGCATCTCCTTATCGTGCAACTGAAAGTTGCTAATGGCTTGCGCCATCTATCGGAATAAATATCAACTATTCTGGTTGATTTTTAATTATTCGAGAATTGCCCAAATACCCATTTTTGATTAATCAAGAAAAGCTAACCACGGACGCGTTTCGGGCTGTTGGCCCTCATCAGGGATGGGAATCGAACCCACAGTGTTCCGCTTACTGGGCAGATGCCATGTCCACTAGGCTACCCTGGACATATTTTTCCGCTCGTAAATATTATATATTTTTCAATATAATGCGGCTTATGATTGTAAAACGACATTTGAAAATATCCCGCATGTGTTTATTTTGAACGAAATATCGAAATTTATTTTAAGGAGAAATAACGATTATTTCAAACCTTAAAATAAATTTCGATTTTTCTCGTTCAAAAGAAACACATGCGGGATATTTTCAAATATCGTTTTAACAATAATATCTTTGTATTATGTATAAAATAATTGTATTATGTATTATTATGTATTCGCCCCGTAATAATATTATTCGCCAAGTAATAATAAAAACAACGTTTTAAGAAAAACACGAACTTTTGAGACAATCTTATAGGATATAAGAAAAGGAAGGAAGGGAGAAGACATCAAAACGATTTATTCACAGACGACACCACACATCAACGACATCTAGAAATACATCAAGACAAGGGCTTCGATTTTTTAGCAGGTAGAGAGTTCTTGAAGCCAAATTCACTCGGTACATCCATGTATATGGAATAAGCCATGGCAAACGTTTGTTCCATTTCTTCTAATTCTCTTTTATCCACTCTGTCTAAGATATCAATATCATATCTCCTTTTGTAAAAACTGGAAAAACTATCGAATTCAAGTTTGGTAAAGTCCAAGAATTCCTTCAGGGAATCCTGAGAGGAAGTTGGACTTATCTTCGGTGTGTTTGAATCGCTATGCTTTACGAATCGGTCGATAGGATGATCTTGGGATTTGAACTTCTTTAGCGGAGGTTCTGGACTGGAGGAATCTTCCTCACGCAATCTCTTTCTGTCGAGGCCAAGTCTTTTCTTGAGGAAGCCGTACCTGGTGCAGTTCTCGGTGGGATTGGGGAACTCTCGCTTCCAGTATCTCAGGGTATCGATACATCGTTTTTGATCATTCGGCACGATGAATCTTCTCCAACGAGGATCCGTCAAATCCTTAATCTCATCCGGCTTTAAATCCAGCAAGTCTTTCGGCGTCTTCCTTTTGTTCTTATATCTTTGATGACGTATATTTGTTCGTTTAGTCTTTAGGCATTTGCGTTTATTTGATTTTATACGTTTAGTCTCTGGTGAATTTGATTCGATCGAACTGTAGCTGCTTGAGTGACTTGAGGAACTTCTAGAACGGCTTCGAGTCCTCTTTGCTCTCTTCGGACTAACAGATCGTGCTGATTTGTGACTTATGGCGCTTAGGGAGCGACTTCGGGTTCTCTTTTCTTTCTTAATATTAACAGAATGCGCCGATTTTTGAATTGAGGGACTTATAGAACGACTTGGAGTTATCCTCTCTTTTTTTAAATTTACAGATCGCACTGATTTGTGACTTGAGGGACTTTTAGAACGACTCAGGGATCTTCTCTCTTTCTTCACATTAACAGATCGTGTTGATTTGTAACTTGAGGAACTTCTAGGACTTAGGGATCTCCTTTCTTTCTTCACGTTAACAGATAGCAACGATTTGAGACTTAAGGAACTTCTAGAAGGACTTAGTGATCTCCTATCTTTCATTAAATTTACAGATTGCGTCGATTTGAGACTTGAGGGACTTTTAGAACTACTTAGAGATCTGTTCTCCTTCTTTACATTAACACATAGCATCGATTTGAGACTTAAGGGACTTTTAGAACTACTTAGGGATCTCCTCTCTTTTTTCACATTGACAGATTGAACTAATTTGTGACTTGAAGGATTTATAGGACTTGGGGTTCTCAACTCTGTCTTCACGTTAACAGATTGCGCCGATTTGAGACTTGAGGAACTTCCAGAAGGACTTAGGGCTCTCCTCTCTGTCTTCACATTAACAGATGGAGCCGATTTGAGACTTGAGGATCTTCTAGAAGGACTTAGGGCTTTCCCCTCTTTCTTTACATCAACAGAATGCGCCGATTTAAGACTTGAGGAACTTCTAGAAGGACTTAGGGTTCTCCTCTCTTTCTTTACATTAATAGATGGAGCAGATTTGTGATTTGAGGGACTTTTACTTATCCTCGCTTTCTTCACATTAGCTGATTGCACGGATTTAAGACTTGAATGACTTATAGAACTTGAGGTTCTCATATCTTTCTTCAAGTTAACAGATCTCGCTGATTTGGGACTTGTGGAGCGTCTAGATCGATTTCGGTTCTGCGTTGAGGTCGCTGTTCGATCTGATCTATAACTTAGAGGCAGGGACCTGGAAGAATGTCTAGACCGACTCCGTGCCGAATTTACTGTACGACCTGATCTGTAACTTAGAGGCAGGGACTTTGAAGAATGTCTAGACCGACTCCGTGCCGAATTCACTGTACGACCTGATCTGTAACTTAGAGGCAGGGACTTTGAAGAACAGGGAGATCTGCTTCGACTCTGTGCCGAATTCACTGTACGACCTGATCTATAACTTCGAGGAAGAGATCTTGAAGAACGTCTAGAACGACTTCGAGTTGAATTCCTTGTACGACCTGATCTATAACTTCGAGGAAGGGACCTTGAAGAACGTCTAGATCTGCTTCGGATCCTTGCTTTAGTAGATTTCACTGCACGATCCGTACTACGATCACGATACAAAGAACTTGAAGATCTTCTAAGCTTACTTCGTCTTCGCTTCTTTATCGTAGAGTTCACTGTAGGACCCGGTCTGTAGCTACGTGGCAAGGATCCCCGTCTTCTGCTTCTTCTTCTTCTGGAGGATTTCCTTGAACAATCCGAACTTCTCGAAGAACGTTTTCGATTCTTTCTTTTTCTCTTCAGAGATTTTTCGCGATGATTTCGTGAACATTTGAGCTTACATTTTATTGATTTAGCCAAGAATGTAGGCTGAGCTTGTATAACTTTCTTTAGAACCATTTTTTCTCTTCTTAATTATCAACTTCGAAGATGAAATCTTCCCCTAAACCCCGTAACTACACCTACTCTTTTTCTCTTTAATCTCAACTGAAATTTCAATTAATCAACTTTCAAAAATCTTATATCGGGACTTTCTCTCTCTTAAGGAGATCTTTAGGGAAGATGTAAAAAATCTTCAAGTATTAGCTTCACTCTTGCTGAGGGAAATGATTGTTACTTCGGAAGAGACACGAAGAATCTTCAAATGAAGATATAATTAATTACTAGCAGTTGTAAATGACAGCTACTGTGAAAAATTGGCTGGCGAAATACCAATATTGCTGCTTCAAATTGTAAATTACAAAGCAGTTTGATGCGCGAAATATGATTCCACGCGCTTTACAAAATCTCTCTTATTCAAAAATATTTAATAATGACTTTTCAAAGAAAAATGTAACAATGGGAAATGAATAAAGATCCTACTAACCGTATAACTAAAAGTTGTTGATTTTTATTAAAAAAAGATGGCCATCGTCTACTTCTAGTTGCTCGACAACTGTCTTTTCCTTGTTTCATTCACCCTGATACCAGTACAATTTCACACTTTTGTACTTTTAATTAACACTATGTAACTTAAAGATAGATGTTGTCTGGCCAGCATTCATATTTCTGTGAAAATAGACACTTCGGCCAGTTAGAGTTTTTTTATTTTCTCAACGTTTCAAAAATCTTTTGTCTTCGTCAGGAGAAATGAATATTCTGGTTCGTTTCCAAGGTGACTAACGTGGCAACGGCACCTATTTTCCAATGAAGATAGTGGACATTGCTGCTGCTGTGATAGAGATGCATGGATACATCTGAGACTCTTCATTGGACACGACAGCAACAACAGGAGAAATGAATAAAAATAAAGCATTTCTCCTGACGAAGACAAAATATTTTTTATTGAAACGTTGAGAAAATAAAAAACTCTAAATGGCCGAAGTGTCTATTTTTCACAGAGAAACTAAGTAACTTTTACTGTGAAACTAAGAGAGCTGTTGAGGAAAGTCGTTCTTCTACTTCCTTATCAGAGATAACGTATATGGTCCAATATATTTGAAATATACACCTATCCCCCGATTTATACGGTACTTGTTTTAAAAGTTTTCGCTTTTACACGGCTTTCCAAATAAGTTTTTTTTTTGTTTTTATCGCACTATACTAAAATGCGATATTCTACTCTATACTACCTATGTTGAAAAGAATATTGAGAGGCTCTGATTCATGAGGGGACGAACACCTATTCAGATTTGACAGTTTAATATACACCTATCCCTCGATTTACACGTTTTTCTCAGGAACGTATCTACCGTGTAAATCGGGGGATAGGTGTGTGTGTATATTTAAACATATAGACAGACAATTACAATAAATATTGTTTCGCGGTCTCACCTAATTCTGGCATTAACTACCCGTTTCATGATTTTTCAGGACGCCTGAATGACCAGGTTTTTTGGTCGTTGAGGTACAGCTTGCACCACACTGACGAGTGACAACAGACCGAAACGTGTCCGTGGTTAGCTTTTCTTGAATTATCAAGGAAATGGGTTGAAGACAAATATCATGGAACAAACTTTAATTGTAAAACGACGTTTGACAATTTTTTACCGCAAATGTTTCTTTTGAACGGAAAATCGTAATTTATTTTAAGGAGAAATAACGACTATTTCTATCCTTAGGGATGAAGAATGAAAAGATGAATTGTGAGGAGTAATGACTGAACGGGAAAATAAATGTGTCCAACGTTTAGTTGATTTATGTATCACTAGATGGCGTTCTGACATCTAGAATGTTCACGTGAGAGGTCAGAATATGTCCTATTTATTTTTAATATTATTTTACTAGACGAATGGCCCGGGCAACGCCCGGGTTTTACCCGAGTGCGTATATATTTTAAAAACGTTTTAATTCAAATACTATTCGTTACAATTATAAATTGGCGCCATGGATGTCACTCTTGTGAAACGTCGCGTTCCAAACTGTGTGTGTCTTGAAAATATAAAAATAAAAATGTGAATTTTCATAAAGAATATATCATGTCGATTTTTTTTTTTTGCATTTCACCTACTAAATCGATAGAGATAATTACATTTGCAACATGAACTTAGGTATATTGACTAAATAGAAAACTGCATAGTA